GGGGAAATGGAACACATGGAGAAATAGAGCACCACAACGACAGACAGACGACCCCCTGAGGCCCAGAGACACTTAAAACACACACTGCTTTCACACCCTCCCCCGTGCCCAGCTGGCGGCGGCTCTGTGGATGACGACACAGGCCCTGCTGGTCTGAGGGGCCTTCTGGTTTAACATTGTGTTTATGCAACACAAGGCACCGTCCTCATGATCCAGTCTCCTCTCCTCCCTCAGCCCCACTCTCTCCTCCACCTGGGCCGGCCATAGGATTCATACAAAATTAACCGGAGGTTCCATTTCACAACACTCCAGTATCCAGTTCCTACCACCACTGCCCCCCACCCCCCACCCATTGGCCCCCTTCTTTTTTCCCCTGTCTCCCCCACCAGGAGAAGCCCAATTCAGGAAGCACCCAGAGGGACCTGAGCTGCCCCCTTTGACAGCCTGAGGTATGGGGGGCTGGAGGTGAAGGACAAGGGGTGTGCACACCAAGCAGCTCAGGGTAGGGCCTCTCAGAGCTTGGGGAATTGAAGCCAGTTGTCCCATGGGTGATGCAGGCTCTCCCGTGTCCTGTACCCCTGCTGCAGCCTTCCAGCCCATACAAAGAGGGGCCCCAGGGGTATCCCCCACCTCTCTGTCTTCCTCCCTTATTTCCGTGAATATTTGTTTGAGCCCCCAGGCATTGTACCAGATGCAGGAGACACAGTGAAGAGTGACAAACAGCTCCTGCCTCTGGGGCCTCACAGGCCACCCCAATACCTATCACCCAGCTTTCCAGATTCACCACAAAGCAACCTACTCTGGGAAGCCTTCTCTGGTAGCATATTAACTCTTTGTTTGGTACCATCTTATTTATTCATTAGATTTATTTATTTATTTTAGAGAATGAGAAAGAAAGGGAGAGAGAGGGAAAGAGAGAGCACTAGCACAGGGGAGGGAGGGATAGAGGGAGAGAGAGAAACTCAAGCAGACAACCCCCTTATGCCAAATGCAGAGCCCAATGACGTGGGGCTAGATCTCAGGACCCGAAGATCAGACCTGAGCTGAAACCAAGAGTCAGATGCCCAGCTGACCATGCCACTGAGGGGTCCTGGTACCATCTTATTTAATTGCTGATTTCTTTCATGGGGATAGAGCTGATGCATGTTGTTTTTTTATAAGAAATATTTGGCTATAATAATAACAGTGATAATGAACATCATTTTGGCAGTGTCTAGGGTATGCCATATACCACACTGAGCCCTTCGTGTGGATTATCTAACTTAATATTCACAACATCTTGTGAGGTGGCTAGTGTTATTACTCCCATTTCACAGATAAGGCAACTGAGGCTCGGAGAAGTTAACCGAATTCTCTGCGTGTGTCCCTTAAAGAGTAAATGTCTCTTGAAGAGTAAGCCTGTCAGGATTTAAACCTAGGTCTTGGGCTCTACTGTCCTATCCTGGGAGGGTGTGCAAGGAAAGGAAGCAGTGGAGGGCAAGGAGGGAAGGGCATTGCCAGAGTGGAATGGAACCAACAGTGGAGGAGGGAAGGAATGGATCTCAGGTCAGAGACAGAGGCCAACACTGGCCTCACAGGGAGCCAGGTTTACCCCTGATTTGTCACCAGAGTCAGGTCTTCAGGGGGAAATTCCGACACTGCCAGGCCGTGGGAGCTGAGCCCCTGGTCTGTGCCAGCAGCAGGTGGTGCCCTGGATGGGCGTGGATTTCTCACGGTGTCAACCCCCTACTCTATCACTTGCAGAGATCTTTTTGCCTAAAATTAGCTGGATGTGAAGAGGAAGGCTAATTTCTGCGTGGCCTGGAGCAGTTTCCTGTAGTGTGACTCAGAGGCCAGCTCCTTGCTCACGTCAGCAGACGAAGGGCACAGGGGGTTGGGAATGGGCAACCTGAGGCCCTGTCTGCAGCTGGCACAGCCCCAGACCATGTGGCTTTTCAGCTGGGGGCTGGGGCTGGAGGACCCAGCATTTCTTGAAGTCAGAAGAGGGCCAAATAGGGCATGAATGCTGAACATGAGAGGGACTAAAGAAAAGTTCCTTGGTGGCCCCAATGTACTGAGGCCCTCATCAGACAGAAGGCCCCTTTAGAGGACAGTTCCCAGGTGCCCATGCTTGGCTCAGGGATGAGGACATATCTGGGAATTGTTCAAAGTCTGCTCTGACGTGGACAGTGGTGGTGACCTTGAGCCCTCATGTTTCTTACCTGTGAAATGGGGTAACAACACCTGCTTCTAGGAACATGTGTAATAAGAACACAGCACAGCCTGGTAAAAAGTGTTGTTACCATTCACAGACATTGGCCAGCATTCTAGAAGGGTCAAATTCCACCCTTTCCAGAGAATATGCCTGTTTCTTCCAGGGTTATGATAACCATAATGAAAATAACAGCAACAAGAGCTGACATTTATTGAGATTTAGAGACTGGGCATTTGGCCTAGTCTCATTCAGTGTGCACAGCCTATTTCCCTGATGGGGAAATGGAGGTGTTTAGTCTCTGGGCCTGAATCCTAACACAGCACTATCCATGGGCTAGGCCTTGTTCTAAGCTACTTCACTGTGTCCTCACCACTCTATGAGATAGTCACCATTATTGTCCCAATTTATAAATGAGGAAACCAAGGCACGGATTGGTTGATACCTTGCCCAGAATCCCACAACTGTAAATGGTAGGGCTGGGATTTGAAACCAGGTCGTCCAAGCCTGAGGTCTGTAGCATTATGTTCTTCTGCCCTTCCCCAAACCTCTTCCAGCTCTACCTGTACCCTGGGAGATCCTTCTGGGTACCAACACAGCAGGGGTTCTGGTTAATCCTGCTAGGGACTTTCTCCTCTCTCTCAGAGATCTTTCCCATCAGAGATCTTATTTGGTCCTCATGAAAAATTAGGAAACCAAGGCTCAGAGAGGTAAAACCAAAGACCCCAAAGCACACACGGCTCACAGGCAGCCAAGCGATATTCAGAAATGTCATTATTCCTTCCATTGTAAAGAAGAGGAAGCTGGGTTTCCTTTATTTTCCACATAATGCCTACCTTTTGCAGTGCCCTGGCGTTCTGTGGAATTCCATCTAAAAAAGGCTGCTCTATGCCATGCTACATGATTTTCCTTCTCTTTCCTCCTTTCCTTGTTGTGGTCCCATGTCTAAGCCAAGTTCAAGTATCTCCTTCTCCAGGAAGCCTTCCCAGACCTTCCCTGCCCGCCCACCTCACCTCTCTTCTGAGCTTTGAGGTCCGTGCTACACCTGGGCTGGATTAAATGCTGTTTTGGCTGCTCAGCAGCTCCCTGTGGGCTAGTGACTCAGTGGCCACGTCTCAGGGCTTTACTGGGCAGCTATCCACCCTATTCTGTGCCAGGTATCAGACTGGGCACTAGATGTATGGGAGGAGCAGGACAGGATTCCTGCCCTTTGGTGTGTTCATGCTTTTCCAATAGTACACAGCGGAGGGAAACAGTGAACCAAATGGTGATGGCCGTGCACAGAGCTGGAGCTTGGCCATTGGCCGCTCAGTTTCCCAGGGTCCAAGAGCCTGGCAGAGGGGCAGGGGAGGCGGGTTTCTCCATACCATGGTCCATATGCCAAGGTCCACGGCATGGCTTTGAGGGGCTCTGTAAATGTGCTGACAGTGTGAACCACAACTATAGTATGTATTTTTTTGTGTTGTTGTTGTTTTGTTTTGTTTTCCTCGGGAAAAGGACCACAGCTTCCAGCAGGCTCTCTGCAGAGCCTGAGACCCAGAGACACTTAAGACTTCCTGACTCAAGAGAATCTCCTTGTCCCATTGAAAAGATACTGGGCTGACCCTGCCTCCTAGCATGCTAGGGGCACCAACCTGATGGCGGAGGTGAGCATGGACCATTCTGCCACATACTTGTGTTCACAAGAGGCCCAGAAGCCCCCAGGTAGAGCTTGTTCCCCTCCCAGGGCACATGTGGCCATTCCCAAGCTCCAAGTTAGAATCATGCAGTCAAGAAAGGATGTTTCCTCTATTCTCACTCTACTTCTTGCCCCAAACAAAACCAAACACCACCAAGAAGGGAAGGTGTTGCTAAACTGCCTAGCTGAGTGGCCAGAGTCCCCAGGCAGCCTCTGTAGGAAATGCATGGAGGTTGGTGCCCAGCAGTGCCCAGAGCATGGGGACTAGAGTCAGGAGACAGGACAGGCGGGCCTTTTAGCCTCGGATTTCTCATCTGTCACGTGGGAGTAAGAATTCAGATACTGTCTGCCTCCTACCTTGTGATACAGAGACCTTGAGGGAGGAATTGTTATCCATTGCTTGGAATAATAATGGCTGCCTCTTACTGAGTACCTGTTGTATGCTCAGGTTTTTAGTAGGTGCTATGAGGTAGCCACTGGTTCCATCTTCCACAGGAAGAAAGTGAGGCTCAGCACACCTCTTTGCACAAAGCTGTAGGACTGCGGAGTGCTGGGGAAAAGACTCACACCCACACCATTGGGGTTTATGCAGGGAATTCTCCCTAATGGCAAGTGGAAATTAACTGGGGGGATGCGGACCCAAACTCTACCCTCTAGTGCTCAAGCTGGGTTGGTTTCTCTTCCTTCTGTCCAACAGCTGATGACCTGGGTCTGGTCCCCTTCAGCCAAGCCCCCAGAAGCTGAAACCCTCTTTCTCCTGAGATGCTAGGTCTGCTCATTTTGGCAGTTACAAGAGAGCCCCTCTCCCATCCCTAGGGCAAGGCACACATAGGCATCTTTCAACTTTCCCTAATGGCCCATCTGCCTGCCTGCCCTGTCTTCCAGCAGCTCCATGGCCCATGGCTGCCCCAGAGACCTAGGGAGCCACCATCAGAGTTTGGATTTGGGACAATTAGACACAACCCAGGCCAGTGACATGGGTTGTGGAGCTGGATTTGAATGCATGGTGGCAATGTTGTGGTCCCATGTCTAAGCCCAATGAGGGGGTTCCTGGGGCCTGGAGAAGGGAGGTCAAGGGCTGGGTGGTGGGATCCCAAATCCAAGCACTGTGTTCAAATCTTCCATACTTACCTTCGACAGGTGAGGTTTTGAGGCGCCGGCAGATGGCTTCAGTGTCCCCGTAAGTCTCTTTGATCTTGACTACAGCCTCGGTGCCCCGTAGCTCCATAAGGGAGCGGAGCTCCTCCATTGTGCATCCAAACTCGCCCCCATGGCTCGACTCATTTCTTTGGTTTTTGGAGTAAAAATCGCTGTTGGTCATGTCACCCATGTTTGCTCCAGTCCCTGCTTGGGATGGGCCCAAGGATCAGCACTGGACAAGAGGTTGCTGGGCGATGGATCCACGTGGCTGTCCTTAGCACAACCTCACTGGATGACTGTGGCTCCTGGTGGCCGACTTTGGGTCCCAGGGGGCGGGGGCGGCCGAGGTGGGCTGGTGACAGTGGTGGTGAGCTCCAAAGGGTGTCCCTGGGCACGGGGCAATGTCCAGGGGCCGGAGGGGCTCAGGGCTGTAGACCCAGGAGTCTCCATTCAGTGGGGTCCATGCTGTTCCCTGGAGCTGGCATCTACATGGTCAGGGGCGGTGGCTCCTGTGGGGACAAGCACAGAGTTATGACAAGGGTCAGGCAGTGGAAGCTTCATGGGACAGGTGCTCAGGAAGATCCAGGCTGTGTGTGCTTACAAACACACACACATACATACACACACACAGACCACCCCAACTAACACCCCCTACATATATACACAGGTGTTTCCTACAATATCCCATAACACACCAGCTCACACTGTAAATCCAATCATACTGGAGCCCACCTGGACACTCTACAATATGCCACCCCCAAGGGACAGACTGATGTACCCTCAAAACACACTCTATTTGTCCACTGTGCTATTTAACACAATGACTTCATGACGTGCACCCTGGTACACACACCCTCTGACATACACAACTTGGGGTGTTCTGCAACACCTGACCTGCCTACTTTCAGGGCCCAGCCCACTGCCATACATACACACTAATACGTGAATCCCACTTCACACATGTGGACACCCCCCTTCCCCCCCTAAACACTACCCACGTAAGTGTACTTCTAGGAATACATCTTCACATTCCCACCCCCTCTCCTCAAAAATACCTGTGCTCACAGTCTTGTTTACACACACACTGTGCTCTCACAGTCTGGAGCACAGCCCCACCCCCTAAGTAACGCCCCCCCAGGATCCCCAGCATATATGCTTCCTCCATTCATGCCACCTACATCTGCCGATAGACTGTGGTTCCCACTCTAGTTTCAGAGGCAAGGGAATGGGAAAAATCCACCCACCCTCGCCCGCAGTCCCCAACCACATTAATCAAGGCCCTTGGCCTGGCTAGAGGAATCAGCTCATGCATATTCACCAGGACATCCCTGAGCAGCCCCCCACTCCCCACACTTGGCCCCAGCATGAGCTGGGGTCCACGGAGCCCTCACCTGTGGGCCCCCACAGTTCAGCACCACAGATAGCGGCTAGGACATCCCTCGGGGAGCCCAGGAGAAGGAAGAGGAGGAGGAAAGAGCACTGGCTTTTCCCTGCCGGCCAGCCCGGCCACCCTTGCAGAAGTGTGGCATCTGCAGGGCTGCCAGGAGAGAATTCAATCTGCCCCGACACCCAACACCGATGGCCAAGGTCCCTGGCAAGCGTTGGGTGACAAAGGGCCTCTGCTAAGCTTGGCTGGGCCTGGCATGGGGACTGGCCCCACCCAGTAGGCACAGACAGCTGGCTATCCTAGGTCTGGGACAGTAAGGGGGAAGGTGTGGGGGAAGGAAGATAGGACTGAGCCCCCAACCCAGCCCCAACTCCTTCCTCTTGTCCCCTTCCCCATCTCCTTGCTTCACCAACCTTTCCTTTTGCAAAAAAGTGCTGGAGGCATTTTAGAGTCAATTTCATTTTTCTAGTAAGGAACCAGAAGCTCAGAGAGGGAAAGGAACTTGTTCAGAGCCACACAGAGCTAGCTAGAGTGGAGGAGTCCAGAGGTGGGCTGATCTCTGGACTCCCAGCCTGGTGCCTTTTCCCCTTCCTCTAGGGGGTGCTCCCTCCTTACACTCCGAAGAGCAGAGGTTGGGTGACGGGTGCCTGATGGCAGTAAACAAGACAGGCTCTTGAGTCAGAGAAAATGGGTTCAAAAGGACTGGGTTCAAATCCAAGTCCTCCCAAATCCTGGCTCTGGGACCCTTGGCAAGCTCCTCCCTTCATTTTCCCAAGGCTTTGTTTCCTCATCTGTAAAATAATAATCATTGTCCCCTGTCCCTTTGCTACCTCTCAATTTATTGGGAAATAATTATAAACCATGTTCAAATTCAGTGTGTTTCCACCTGGGTTATGGGGCTTCCCAGCCATGGGTCAGGGGGTGCTGGAGCCACAGGGGAAACCTGTCATGACTTCCACGATGGCATCTTTACTCAAGGATGCAGGAGGCTTTATTCTTACACTGGGAGCAATGACTATCTTATAGAGTGGTCCTGATGCTGCAGGCAGAAACACAAGACACAGAGACAGAGTGTGCTTGGGGACCCCACCCCCAGTCCTGTAGCAGCATGCATGGCCCTTGGCCATCTTAGCATGTACCACCCCCAGAACCCATGAGTTTGGACCCAAACAGTGCATCCCTAGGAGAAGCAAGTGAGGAGGGGACCAAGGATGCCTATGTAGAGGTGTCACAGAGGTTAACTGCAGGGGCTCTAGAAACTAGTCTCTGGATTCAAATTCTAGCCCCTCCACCTCCCAGTAGAACGGGAAGCATGCAATTTTGGTTTCATCTTATAAAAAACAGAGGGGGAATAATACTATCTACTTCATAGGTATTATGAGACTTAAATGAGTTATTTCATGTAAAATATTTAGAACCAAATCAAGCACATCAGAAGCACTCAATAATTATTGTGATTATTACCAATCCATATAAGCACTTTATGAGGTAGGTAGTCTGGTTATTCCCATATAGCAACACGAGAAAGCCAAGGCCAAGAGAGGTGAGATAAATTCCCAAGTTCACATAGCTAGTGAGTGCCAGACCTGGGATTTGAGCTCAGGCAGTCTGCATCTAGAGCCACACCCATAACCAGGACACTTTGCTGCCTCCCCTTGTGAATTGCTCTCATGGGGTTCTTAGGATGGGTAAATGAAGTGCCATATGTGAACAAAAGTGCTTTGCAAACCACAAGGGATTTTCTAAACCCAAGGTGCTGTTTGATCTGTCCCCATGCTACCTGTGTTGTGTCTCACAGTCACTGATAATTACATCTCTGGCAGCATGAGCTGTGAGAATTGTTAGGCGTAATTATATTTATGATAACAATAGTAGGCATGAGTTAATGGGCTATTGGCGATTTTAACTATTACGTTAAGACAAACAATGATCTTCAGCCAGCCAGCCAGCCAGCCAGCCATCCATCCACCCATCCATCCATCCAATCATCCATTCAATAATTGTGTTTCGGACACCTACTCTGTGCCCAGCACTTGATGATCCAGATATAGTTCCTACTCTCCAGAAGCTGATGGTGTGGAGGAGGGACAATTAAATGAGTGACTTCTATAACATGAAGAGTTATAATGGGGAGTGATAGCTATTACAGCTGTCCAGAGCAGGAAGATCTGATCTTGCCCAGGGTATCAGGAAAGATCTTTCTTCTCAGTGAGAGTAGGGAATATTTCTTTCCCATATAGGTTAAGCAGGACTTAAGCCAAAAGATGAACAGAAAAGAAACTCAAATATGCAACTGTCTGTTACGAAAGGGTTGAGAGGAGCATAGGAAAAGGTGTAGGAAGGGACCTGGGTGTAAGGAGGGAAGCAATTCTGGGACGACAAAATTAGTTAAAAATCAGAAGTCTGCCTCTGTAGTGATTGATCATTAACTTCCTTTTTTGAAAAGAAACGAAAACAAAATCAAACTTCCTTCTTTGAGATTTCCCATCACAGCTACCTCTTCTGATGCAGCCCTTGCCCCACCCCCTCGTCCCCTGCTTTGCCTCTCATGCAAACCACCCCTGTTCTAGTCATCTTGGTTGGTCCTAATGTGCAGAGTTCACATTGGTAGTTGATTTGACTTGGTCAGATTTGATTTGAGAGTATGAATCCACTGGCATAGAAGAACCTATAGGATGCCACACAAATGATCTCCAGGCAGGCAGAACAGAAGACCTGCTAGCTTGTACAGAGTTCACCAGCTGACTGAAAACTCCATAGTCGCCCAGTATCTGCCATAGAGTGCTCTCCAATACCTGTGCCTTTCCCACCCTGACAATGGTCTGTCCTGTTCAGCACAGCATGCTTTCCTTGGAAGCCTTCCCTGACCACCCAGGTCTGTGTAAATGCTCCCAATTCTGGATGCCTCTGGTATCATCCTGCACTTCACACTCTATTGCTTGGACCTACTTCTCTGTTTCCCTTTCTTGGGAGCCGGAGGGCTCTGTGTGGGCAGTAGCCATGTCTATTTTGTACCTAGTTTGGGGCCCGGCCTTCAGAAAGCACGTGATAATTGCTTGGTGAATGAATGCCTCAGTCCTTGGGTCATCTGTCCCTGGAAGGTATGACTTTAGATAGATCATTGAATCTTAGTTTCCTCATCTATCAAATGGAGTAGTTGATTCCTAACCCATTGACTATAACGCTGGGGTCTGGAAAGATAGCAGAATCAGTAGTTATACTTTTTTTCTTTGAGATACCCCCCCCACCCTCCACTCCTAGTTTCTCTTTGTGTACATGGGTGTGAGGCTAAAGATGGAGCAGGCAGCTGTCTCCTTTGCCGAAGCCCACTGGACTCTGATTTTCTTGCTGCCACATTGAAATACCACACAAGCCACTGCTCTATGGCTAAGAGATTAAATGAGTTGTGTGACCTTGGAGAAGTCACCTAGCCTTGCTGAGCCTTGTCTGCAAAGTGGAATTGACCTACCCGTCTTATAGGTTGCTGTGAGGCCTCAAGGATACCTCTGTGTGAGGTCTCTGGGTGAGGCTCTGGGCCTGGAAGGGACATTCTGCATCACTGGCTTCTATGCCTCTGCCTGACCCCCCTCCCACCCCAATATTAGCAAGTGTACCTCTCATCTCATGATCATGATGAGCTTCATTTGCAGCCAGCACTCAAGTTGACATGGTTACCTCTGCCCAATATGATGGGCACACAGGTGGTACATTGGTACGGACTGAACGTGTCCCCTCAAATTCATAGGTAGAAGCCCTCATTCCCAGTGTGACGGTATTAAGAGGTGGGGCCTTTGGGAGGGGTTTAGGTCATAAGGGTGGAGACCTCCTGAATGGGATTAGTGTTCTTCTGAGGAGACAGGAGAGAAATCATCTTTCTTAAGCCACTTGAGGACACAGTGAGAAGACAGCCATCTGCAAGCCAGGAAGAGGGCTCTCATTAGGAACTGAATCTGCCAGTATCTCAATCTTGGATTTCCTGGCCTCCAGACATGTGAGAAAAAATTTTCTGTTGTTTAAGCCACTCAGTTCTATGGTATTCTGTTATAGCAGCCTGAGCTAACTGAGACCTCAGCCTGTGTTGGGCATATAGCCAGGGTCCAGAGAGGTTAAGCAACATATCAGG